CTGGGGAGGGCTAGCCTCCCACTAGTTCGAATTAAGGGGCTACACACCCCTTAATTCGAACTAGTTAGTTCGAACTAGGCTTAATCCTCGTGGAATTAAATTCGAACTAACGGAGCGCTAGTGTAGCGCCTATGGAAGTTAGTTCGAACTAATGTCTGTTAGTTCGAACTAACTTTGTAGTGTAGACATACCTTGAGATGGCTCCAACACTGGTCTAAAAGCCATGAAGATATATTGGTGGAGGTGCTTTTCCCTCAGCTTCATTTGTGTCTTGAAGCCATGACTGACAGAGCACCTAGCTCTAACATGGCTTTCACCCAGGCATTTCAGGCAGCCTTGTTAATAGGCAGGGATATCAGGTTAGACAATATGTGATAGATCCTGAGGAAAGACCATTTAATGTGCTACATAACTTCAGAAAGTTACACCATGTCTTGTTGCAGGGCTGGGTAATAAGCCAGATGCGGCTTGCCATGGTTAACCCCTACTGGGCTGCTGGTGCTTTATCTACTTGTACCTCCACAGGTACAGCTGCTTGAAGCTCCCGTTGGCCATGGATCATTGTTCATGGGCAATGGAAGGCGTGGGAAGTGGTGTCCCAGTCCACATCACTTCTTGCAGCTCCCATTGGTTGGAAACAGAAATCCATGGCAAATGGAAGCTTCAAGTGGCCACCCTTGTGGAGGTACAGGTAAATAAAGTGCTGGTGGCCTGCCAGGGGCTATCCTTGGTGAACTGTGACTGGCTCACAAGCTGGTTATTGCTCACTGCTGTAATGATGTTACAGAGAGAATATATAAAAGAAGGATAATTATTACTCACAAAACACATTATTTTGACCTCTGCTATAAGTTAAAACACAGAGGATGACATAAATCATCACAGTATATGCTTTATAGAAAATGTACAGCTAAAAAAAATACTTATTTTATTGTTGTCATTTAATAAATAAAGTCATTTGAAACAAACTTTACTTCATCAGATGATGTTCTAAATCAAACTCTGAAAACTATAATAATCATACCACATAAATAATATTCTGTCCAAGTCTTAACCTTAAATGAAAATTTGAGCTTTATGTACTAAAATGACAAGAACATAAATAAAACCAGACATCTCTACCTACTTTTTCAATTAGTTCATAACTCTCCTCAAGTTTCAGGGCTCTGTTTTGTACAGATGTTGAAGCTCGATGATAGACATCTAGCCACTCTTGATATTCACTTTCTGATATCTCAGCAACAGCAAAACAAAGAGTTCTTAAACCTAAATAGTAAACAGATTGTAAGAATAGCAATCAACATTTAGAAATTAGTAATTTCCATGTGGTGCTAACAATATATAGTTAGAAAGCTACATTTGCTATGAATAAACAGATAAAAGAAAAACTCACTGGTAAATGTCACAAAAGCACATTGCTTCAAGAATACAAGATTGTATTATCTACGTGTACCAGCATACCAATATCAATATAGTCAATGGGAACAAATCCCTGATGTTTACCACAGGAGTCTGTTTTGGTACTGGTTCTGTTCAATAGCCTCATCAACGATTTAGATATTGGCATAAAGAGTATGCTTATTAAGTTTGCAGATACCACCAAGTTGGGAGGGGTTGCAAGTGAATTGGAGGATAGGGGAATAACTCAAAATGATCTGGACAAACTGGAGAAAAGGTCTGAGGTAAATAGGATGAAGTTTAATATGGACAAGTATGAAGTACTCACTTAGGAAGGAACAATCAGTTTCACACTTACAGAATGGGAAGCAACTGTCTGGGAAGGAGTACTGCAGAAAAGGTTATAGTGGATCATTAGCTAAATATGAGTCAACAGTGAGATACTGTTGCAAAAAAAGCAAGATACAAGAAGTCATTCTTCTGCTCTGATCTACTCAGTTGGAGTATTATGTCCAGTTCTGGGCATCACATTTCGGCTGTGTCTAGACTAGCAAGCTTTTTCCGCAAAATCAGATGATTTTGCGGAAAAACTTGCCAGCTGTCTACACTGGCCATTTGAATTTCCGCAAGAACACTGACGATCTCATGTAAGATCATCAGTGTTCTTGCGGAAATATTGTGCTGCTCCCGTTCGGGAAAAAGCCCTCTTGCGCAAATCATTTGCGCAAGAGGGCCAGTGTAAACAGCACAGTACTGTTTTCCGCAAAAAAGCCCTGATCGCGAAAATGCTTTTGCGGAAAAGCATCCTGCCAATCTAGACATGCTTTTCCGAAAATGCTTTTAACGGAAAACTTGCCAGTGTAGACGTAGCCTTCAAGTAATATGTGGAGAAATTGGAGAAGGTCCAGAGAAGAACAACAAAAATGATTAAAGATCTAGAAAACATGACCTATGAAGGAAGACTGAAAGAACTGGGCTTGTTTAATTCAGAAAAGATAAGACTGAGGGGGTTTTCAAGTATCTAAAAGAGTATTACAAGGAGGAAGGAGAAAAATTGTTTTGCTTGGTGTGACAGGACGGGCAGCCTCCACCCCGCGGAGGCAGACCCGCTCTGCACTGACCCCGCTTGCACTCCTGGGGGCCGACCAGGAAGCGCGGGCGGTGTGCGGCCTCTGTACGGCTGCCGCCACTCAGCTGAGAGGCAGGGGCAGAGCCAGAGAGACATGCCAGCCGGCGCCCTGAGACAGGGCGGAGCTAGGCGCCGGCTGGGGGGTGGGTGGCTGGAAATGTCACGCCGAGCACGACGCCGGTGTGGGATTTTAAAGCCGGGTGGAAGGACGCCCAGAGGAAAGGAGGAGGCAACTGGAGAGAAGGACGCCAGGGGAAAGGAGGAGGTAACCAGGAAGAGGGGACCCCCGAGGGAGAGGGAAGCTTGGAAGGCAGGATGCCCGGGGAGGAAACTCCCGGGAACGGAGTCGCTCGGAGGTAGGAAGTAGCCCAGGGCGGGGCTTGGAGCCCGTGAGCTGGTGAGTTGCAGGCATTAGCTCCGCCGGCTGGGCAAGATCTAGTGACCCTGTCCTTAGGGCCCTGGGCTGGGGCCGGTGAGAGAGGGTGGGCCCGGGCCCCCCTACCCTCACATCCCGGCAATAACACACAAAACCCGCGTCAGGCGCCAGGGGAGGATAAACCAAGGAGACTTACCCTGAGTGGGGAAACATGAGGGGGGGTGGCCACGCCTGCATCTGACTGGAGCGGGCTGACCGACCCCCTACTCGTATACTTGGCCTCTGATGAGAAGACAAGAAGCAATGGGCTTAAACTGCTGCAAGGGAGGGTTAGGTTGGACATTAGGAAAAATGTCCTAACTATCAGGGTGGTATAAATTGCCTAGGGTGGTTGCCTCTGAAATAAATGGCCTAGGGAGGTTGTGGAAGCTCCATCACTGGAGATATTTAAGAGCAGTTTAGACAGAGATTTATCAGGGATGATCTAGAAAGTGCTTGGTCTTGCCATGGGAGCAGGGGACTAGACTTGATGACCCCTCAAGGTCCCTTCCTGTTTTAGTGGTCTATGAGATTCTATGATAGTTGTTGTTTCCTAAATTAATACTTTAAATCAGCAAGCAACAATTTATAGCTTTTTCTAAGATATCCATCTTTATTTTATAATTGTCTTAACATATATATGTGCAAAATCAGAACATTTAAAAACTAACAATGAATCTTCAAATTATGAATTATGTCCCACCATATGCAATAATATGAAGAATTAATATTTTCAAGGTAATTCATTTCAAATGATCCCGTGCTCACAATTTGTAAATTATGGAAATATAACTTTAAAACAATATTAATAGTAAGCATTATTTTATCGAACTTAATTTATCTTTTGTGAAGAAAAGTTGATTTTCCAATTTATAAAAAAATCTGTTTTTTCTTGTCACATTTACAGATTTTTTTAAAAACCTACAATATTAGGCTCAAATATCTCAAAATATTAAATTGTGTGAGCTGCATATACAATATATCATGTACAAAGATGGGTTTACATAAACACATGCGCACCTATCTGACTTGTGCATATGCACTGGGGCTCATTTAAGTAATGGAGTATGTACAAGACATTTACAAAATATTAATCCTAATTTATAAAAAAACATATTCATTGTATACCAAAAAAGTGTTCTCTATTCACACGATCACAATTAACTGGAAAATTAATAACCCTTCTAAGCAGAAAACTTGACAAATGGGTTTTTTTTATTTGTAATTATTTGTGTGGATATAATATGTGTGTCTGTGTGTATATATATATATGTTCATAGACCAAAACAATTTAAAATGGATTTAAGCTTGAGAGTAATGTATCAGTAATTTACAATAAAATGCAATACTGAAATGTTGTAATTATCTCACAACCCAGGAAATATACAGTTAAGATTAATGGAAATGCCTGTTGAGGGAATTCAAACAAGAGATGGTTACCTTCCATAACTGGTGTTCTTTGAGATGTGTTGCTCATATCCATTCCAAGGGTATGTCTACACTACCCCTCTGGTTCGAACTAGGGTGGGTAATGTAGTCATACAGAGTTGCAAATGAAGCCCGGGCTTTGAATTTCCCGGGCTTCATTTGCATAAAGCCGGCCGGCGCCATTTTTAAGTGCCGGCTAGGTCGGACCCCGTGCCGCTCGGCTACACGCGGCACGGACTAGCTAGTTCGGATTAGGCTTCCTAATCCGAACTAGCTGTACACCTCGTTTGGAAGCCTAATCCGAACTAGCTAGTCCGTGCCGCGTGTAGCCGAGCGGCACGGGGTCCGACCTAGCCGGCACTTAAAAATGGCGCCGGCCGGCCTC